GTACTGAGGGTCAAACTCAGGACCTTGCACTTGCAAGACAGGTGGGAGAACCACGGAGCTAAATCACTGGCCCTTAAACATCTTTTAATGTTTGTATTTACTCTTCTTTGCCTTTGGAGTCATTTTTCATTTTGAGTAATAGTCAAAACATGTTCCTTACCCTTGGAGAAGTGAATATGTCTAAAGGTACTTATTTGTATGTTTTGTGGTCATCCTCTGCTGTCGCCTGAGTAAAAATGTTGGTGATAGTGGTGCATATGTAAAAAAGCTTTGAGGGTAGGGGGGAAGGGGGAGGAGCAGGGGAGGAAGGCACGGAGAGAGAGGGAGGGAAGGAACACAGGCCCTTAACTAGCCCCTGTGAGGTCCTGGGGTCTATCCCTAGCACCACACACACAAAGCCAGGCAGGGGACAAACTTTCAAAGTTCTCTTGCAGCTCTCCCTGCTGCTTTTGAGGATCGGCCTGGAGACCCTCAGGGTATCTGGTGAACCCAGTTAGTATTTGGCGGTCCCCTGGGTGGGCACTGGGGGCATGGAAAGGGTCACTGACTTGCTACTGTCTGTGCGCCTGTGTGATTCTGTTTGAGGATCACAGTTGCACAGAGCTGGGGGAAGGCGACTGTCAGAACCAAAGGGGCAGCTAATCCAGGTCTGTGGGGGCCATCTGAAAATAACCCGGGTTGATGTACTAGGGTGGAGGAGTGGGGATTTGGTCATCCTGTGCACCATCTCAGGATGGCAGATGCAGACCCATGTGCAAAAGTCACCATCAGGAGCCAGGTGTGGTGGTGCACACCTGTAATCCCAGCACTCTGGGAGGCTGAGGCAGCAGGACCACAAATTTAAAGTCAGCCTGGGCAACTTAGTGATTTAGCAAGACCCTATCTCAAGATAAAAAATAAAAAGGGGGCCGGGGATGTAGCTCAGTGCAAAGGCCCTGGGTTCAAACCTTACTACTTAGAAACAAAACAAAGCAAAAGTCACTGTCAGTAAAGGGCCTCCCACAAGGGTTGGTTATCCTGGCCCATGAACAGCGAAGGGACTTGTGTATGTCAGGGAAGACTGTAAAGGAGACATGAAAAGCTACAAAAGCAATGAGAAGTATACTTAGGTATCATTCTCCCACCCAGCAAGGCTCAAAATACCGAATACTGACATAAGGTGTTAGGAGGGAGGAAAGGGTGTCAAGAAATAAATTCTTAGGGTGGGGACATAGCTCAGCAGCGCCACGCCTGCCTGGCAAGTGCAAGGTCCTAAGCTTGATCCCCAGTACTGGAAAGCAAAACAAAACATAAAAGAAAGTTCTGTCCTGTGTTGCTGGAGTGAGTCTAAACTGAAAAGACGTCCTCGGAAGGCAATAGCTAGTTAGATCAAGACCACGTTTCCATTTCTAGCCCTTTATCCTATTCACATGTGTGAATGTCATCTTGGAACAATTGTTGGAAGACTGGAAAAAATCTGTAAAATACCCATAATACAGAACTTGTGAAATAAATTATGAGAAACCCATATACCCAAATGTTGTGCGGCGGTGAAAAGAGGGGTGAGGAGCCCCACTGGGGCCACCAGTCAGGACCCATTGGGAGGTCACTTACCACTTGCGAGGCCTTCCAGCCGTCGGTAATGGCCTTCTCCAGCTCTTCCCAGGTGACCATGGTCACTTCCTCTCTACTAGGAACCAGAGTCAGTTTCTGGCCCATGTACTCCTGACGATAAAAGGCAACACGCATGCAGCCAGGTCCTGGAGTCATGCGGGACTCCAATAAGGAGCTGGGCAGGGATAGAAAGGGCTTCCCCCTTCATCCGGGGCCGGTGGGGATGCAGAGGGATGTTGGGCCCAGCCCTGGTGAGGAGCGAGGCCGAGGACATCTCCCCCCAGGGCGGGACGGCACCCCGGTGTTACCAGGAAATCGTCGCGCTCTCGGATTAGCTTCTCAAGCTCTTCGATGCGCTGGAGAACATCCTGGAAAGCAGAGTTCAGAGATGAGCATCGTGCAGCCCTACTGGGGCCCCTGCGCTTATGCACACGAACACGCGCACACACGCACATACGCGCACACTCAGCTGGAGGGAACAGAGGAAGGAGGCGCGCGTGTGGCTCTTGGAGAGAGGGAGGGCTTGTAGTCTCTACGTGGTTTTACCTGGCCTACGGTAAGGTTAGGCTGCCAGTTCTTTTCTCAACGACAAGAGGAGGGAAGTGGGCTGCCGTGGGGGCGGTTCGGGGGCAGCGTGCCCAAGGTCAGTGCTAACACAAGGGTGAGAACTGCTGGGCCTGGGGTTCATGTCACACTACCCCTAGCCAAAGATGCCAGCACTGCCACACAGAGCCCACTTTGCCTCTCAAGGATCCAGTACCAGGGGCTTCTGCAGTGTCTGCGCCCTCAAGAGAACCCCCATGCCAACCCCCCAAATCTAGATTCGATTAAAGCCAAAACAAAATGAAACATCGCTACCGTTTGAAGTTGAAAAAGAAAAAGGGGTACATGTTCCAGAGCAAAGAGGAGCGGGTCTGAGGTCACAAGGCCTGGCGCGGCGCAGGATGTGTCCAAGCCAGGGGCCCGGGGGACATTTCTGCACCCCTGAGCTTCTTCCCAGCTTGCCCCAGACTTTCTCCTAACGACTCCTTCTTTTCCCTCTGGGCTGAAATATGAAAGTGTGTCTGTTGCACTCCCTTGGTTTCCTGTGCCCATCACTCAGGGCTTATGCTGAGCCATTCGTGTGGGTTGTTTCCCCCTCAAAAAACCGAGGCCAGGTGAGACTGTCCCCTGCCTGCCTACCTTGTGTCCATAACCACGGGGCGATGGTGTCCAACTCCGCATCTCAACCCCCTCCCTGTGGACTGGGCTTTGGCTTTCAAAGCCCAATACTTGGTTTTCATTTTTATTTTTAGTGGTACTGGGGATTGACCCTAGGTACCCTAGGCAAGCTAGCCCTTCGTCCCCTGAATTCTGGGAGACAAGGTTTCATTAACTGGCCCAGCGCTTGCCTTGAATTTGTGACCTTCCTGCCTCAGCCTTCATCCCCAGTCCTTTCTTATTTTTTAATTTTTTATTTTTTTGGTACTGGGGATCGAACTCAGGACCTTGGGCTTGCGAGGCAGGTGGTGAAACCACTGAGCTAAATCCTTGGCCCTATATTTTAAATTTTAAAAAATATAAAAAAATTTTTGAGATACAGTATCTCTAAATTGTCCAGGCCAGGACGAAACTTGACATCCTCCTGCCTCAACCTCCAAAAGCACTGGGATTATAAACACGTGCCACTATGCTCCTTTCCTCCTCCTCCTCTTCCTCTTCTTCTGCTCCCTCCCCTTCTTTCCCTTCTCCTTCTTCTTTCTGTGTTGGGGGCTACACCCAGGACCTTCAAACTGAGCTACATCTTCAGCTCTTTTTTCATCGCCCAGGACTGGCTTCAGCTTAAGATCCTCCTGTCTCAGCCTCTCAGAGTGTTGATTTACCTCTTAACTTGTTTTTTAAATTTTATTTTTTCAGGTTTTTTGAGACAGAATCTTGCCACGTAGTTCAGGCTGGCCCAGAACTCACTGTGTAGCCGAGACTGGTCTTGAACTTGCTGCAATCCTCCTGCCTCAGCCTCCTGAGTGCTGGGATTACAAACTGCAGGGCTCAATTCTTTTTAAAGGGGAAACTACTCTAAGAATATTCTGAGATACTGTCAGCTCATCTGTGGGTTAGCTCAGGTTCTTGGTGTCTGGTGAGCCCTGGAAAAGGAGCAAGGGCAGAGGAGTGCACGTAGGGCCATCTCACTCTAGAGAAGGGGTCCCTGGGCACCTTCACCTGTGGTTTCAATTCCTGTGCTTTTTGGTAGGCTTCTTTCAAAATGTTCACATCTTTCACAACGTCATGGAGCAGGTCCACTGGCTGCGAGGCAGAGAAAGGCTGCGTAGAACAGGCACAGGAGGCCCGGCCCACCCCCTCTGAGCTCAGCACACCCTGGCCACGGGGCAGCAGCTCAAGGCTCAGCTCCTGACAGGACTAGGAGGAGGTCCTGGAGGGACAGAGGGGCTGCCGGTCTCCCCAGTCATCTCCAGGATGCTCACCTTCCTTATGTCCTTCTGGACCTGTGTTGACCTGATCCGAGCCTTCTCCGTGTCCAGCACGGCCAAGTCCTTTACCTCCAGCACCGTGGGGGCCTCGAAGTCTGACTCCACCGAGGTGATTTGCTGCACGTGGTTGCCAATGATCTGCATCTGGCTGTCCACGGTCTTGAGCTGCCTGGTGAGGTCCTGCACCTGGCCTTCCAGCTCCTTCACCTGGCTCTCCAGCGTGTGGGCAGACGACCTGCTCAGGGTCTTGCGCCTCTCTTTGGGGGGATGTGACTGCGGCACTCTAGGAAGGGAGCTTTGAGAGGAGGGGGGCAGGGACTCAAGGGAGCGGCCTCCCTCTGGCGACAGGGTCTGGAAGTCGATGACAGTGTCGTGCAGTTTGAGGTTCTTGAGCATGGCCACAATGAGGGTGTGCAGGGCCGTGAAGTTGACGGCGCCCACCTCCGGCGTGCCGATGGCCAGGTCGGCGAGCTCCCTGAGGGAGACCTTGGTGGCCGGTGTCGCAGGCGGCATCGTGATCGCTCTTGGGAGCGGTGCGCGCCCCCAGGGACAAAGGCGACCGACACCCCCTCACTGCTCCTCGGGCCTCTGGGGCCTTTTGAGGACCCTACGAGGTCCCCGGGGCGCCCCTGCCCCGCACCCGGCCGCGCAGGATGAGTCACAGGACCGAGCCTGGTGCCCGGGACCCTGGCCTCTTGCAGTCAGCGCCCCGCGCTCTGGCGGGGTCCAGCGGGCCGCAGAACGTTTGGGACCAGGAGCCCGGCGCCCCAGGATTCCGCGTAAGAACGCGCGCTCCCCGGAGAACCAGAACCTCCCCGCGCAGAACAAAGGCCACCGCTGGTGAGGGCCACCCGGACACTCAGCCTGGGGCCTAGGGAAGCCCTGAACGCACACCTCTGAGCGTCCTTAGCTCTTGTTTAGAAAACGCCCGCTCGCACTAGGAGCAGGTCAGCCTGTGGGACGGCAGCGGGGACGCCTCTAACGGTTCAGCTGGATCCTGTCCTTCCCCTTGGAACGGGAAACCACTCGCTCCTGAGGGGCCCTGAAGACAAGAGTAAGGGGTACAGCGGCCACCAGCTCCACTGTCACCCCGCAGGGCAGGGCCGCGTATCGAGGGAAGCGGGTCTGGGACCGGGGCCTCTCGGGGACAATGCCCATCCCACTTGGAAACGAGGACCCCCGCGGAGGCGGCTAGTGCGGCCCTAACCCACCGGATCCCCAAACGCGCCGGGGAGCTAGACGGCCGGCGGACATTCCCATGTAAACACGACGTCCTAACAAGGGCTCAGGAGGCTAAGCGCTTCAGAGGAAACCTATGACTGCATCCTTACCATGTATTACAAGTGCTCCACCAACTCAAGATTTCTAGTTTAGTCCGAATAGTGTTTTTAAGCGGAGGAAATTTTTTCACCGTATTTCTGATACACGGTGGCCCCAGGTGGTGGTTGTATGGAAAGCGCAACTTCTCTTTTGCGCCTTTGTGCTCAGATCGTTAACTCGTGCCAGATGGCGAAGTCTGAGCCTTAGACCAAGCACTATCTGTCTGGAGCCCACCCCTGCAGGGTGAGGAGGTGCGTGTGTGCAGTTCTTTTCAGTAACTTTCTCCAAGAATGTCCAAGACACAATTACTATACCAGCTGTCGTCAGCTCTCTGAACCTCACCTTCATTTACATCCCTGAGGCTTAGTATCTTTTTAAATTTTTTGGTGCCTGGGATGGAAAATGAGGACTTGAGCGGGGTGTGGGGGCACCGCCTGTAATCCCAGCACTTAGGAGGCTGAGGCAGGAAGATTGCCTTCAGTTAGAGGCCAACCTGAGGTCACGAGTTCAATGCCAGCCTGAACTACAAAGCAAGACCCTGTCTCAAAAAGTAAAAAAATAAACAAGTAAACGAGGCCTTGGGTATTAGGCTAGGGTCCTACCACTGAGCTGCACCCGAGTACAAGGCTTAGTATCCTGTCAGGTACATTAGGATTCACTAAATACAAGAAAGGGTAGCATTTTCTAATTCCATGAACTACTACTTACTTGTTCTATTAAATATTTCTTGAGTGAGTACATTTAAAAATTACTACCCTTCGAGATTCAAGAAAAAGTTAGCTGGAGATCTAAGCGGGATTTTAGACTAACCTGACGAGTAAGAACTAGGTCTCTGCTCTTCCTTCCATCACGCTAACCACCCTACAGACTGTTCACATTTCCCTACTTGGATCATTTACATGCTTGAAAAGCTAATGTGACTCAGTCATGACTGTGGGTAGGGAAATTTTGTCATTAAAAAAAGGGGATCATTGGGCATGGTGGCACACGCCTTTAAGTCCCCAGAACTTGTGAGGCTGAGACAGGAGGATGGCTGCCAGTTCAAGCTCAGCCTGGGCTACATAACAAGACCCTGTCTTAAACAAACAAACAAATCAACAAATAAAACTACAAAAAATAATTTTTTTTTTTTGGGGGGGACAGAGTCTCACTATGTAGTTGAGATTGACCTGGAACTCACTATGTAGCCCAGAGCTGGTCTCAAATTCACTGCAATCCTCCTGCCTCAGCCTCCGGAGTGCTGGGATTACAGGTGCACGCCCGGCAACCAAAAAAAAAAATTTTTAATTCTTAGGAGCAAAGAGAGTCAATAAGCGAGTCCAGTTAATTCCACAGAAGACACTTTTCCTTCAGACAATACTCCCCACTTAGAGTAGGCTCAAAGGTAGAAAAATCTCTCCCATGTTTTCCTGATGAAGGTGCATAAGCTAGAATTGCAATGATGTGATTCAAAATGGTGGGTAGGAGGGCCAAGTCAGTCCCAAGTCACACAACAGAGGTAGTGCCATCTATTATAAAGGCAAACAAGTGTTGGTTCCTTTTTCTTTTAATTTGGACTTTAACAAGGATTTAACTTTAGCGTTTAGGAATGGGAGGGATTGTGCAGAAGATTTATGCCTGGGGTCTGTCCCTACCACGGACTCTGGCAACCCTTTGTCCACTATTTTTTGCACAGTGTGGACAGGAGTCAGTCCATCTGCCTAGCAGGAACTCTGCAGTGTAGTAGAGACCAGGGAGATAACAAACTCTTTTATTTGCAACTGCAGAGTGATACAGATACCCAGGGATGGGCTGTAGTGTGCTCACCCCGAGAGGAACAAAAACACAAATGCTTCGCTATTCCATGGCAGTAGGCATGGCAGATTCTGGAAGAAAAATAGGCTTCTCTACAAAAGACTTATATGAGCTTGACTAGGGAGAGGACAACTGGATACAAACAGTGGCAGTGTCACTCAGCTCCCGACCGAGTTCAACATCACACCTGCATTCTCAGGAGCTGAGTGAATGAACATCACAGAGTTGACACTTTATCTGCTTTTAACCCCTCTTCAATATAACAATTTTCAGGTTCTTTTGCGGAGCGTGTCTGTAACTTCTGCAGAAGGAACAGGGTTGGTGATGGTGGATATTTAAGGCCGTGTCGTTTATCACTAGCTTGGTCTTCTTTACTGAGTCCCCCTCCCCACCCATCCTGGCAAGACTACCTAGCTTCACACTACTTCCGGTCCTTCCCTGCAAAGAAATGCTGTGTGTGTGGCTGACGGCACTGCTTTGTACATGTTTTCTTTCAGAGTGCGAGGGTGGACAGCAACTTAGTCATCCACGGTGATGTTTCGGAACAGGTAAGCCATGGACTCCCCATTGTGGATTCTCCGGATTGCTTCAGAAAGAATCAAACTGATATCCACAGTCTTTATCTTGGGACACTGCAGCTTCTGGATCTCATGAGGGACAGTATTCGTCACCACCACCTACTCACATACAACAGAAAAGAAATGCTGTTACCGATGCGCATCGGCCCCTCAGAACAGCGCATCTAGCATTTGTACCCACGGTCCACATTCCAAACCGTGAAACTCTGTTCCACTTAGTACAAGTTTATAATCAAAACTGTCTTTGTACAGAAAAACGGTTACAGGGCTCAGAACACAAGCTCTAGAAATGTCATGGTGTACATAAATAAATACGGTGCAATTTTCCTATTAGCAGGAAGATTCAAGTCTCGTATGCTCCTATAGTGCCAGATTCAGGTACTGAAGAGGACCATATTTATCTGGTCTGGTCTCAAACTCAGTCCTCCTGCCTCAGAGCTGGGATCACAGGTGTGCATCACCCACTGGGCTAAGTAACTTTACATTAGGTCATTTGATCATTCTTAAAAACCACAGCGACAAACTTTTGCCCAGAGCCAGTGTTCCAGCCCTGTAGAAGCAGACAGACCTCATCGATGGAGGACTCCTCGATCAGGCGGGGGGCCTCTGCAGACAGGATGCCGTGAGTAGCCATAACATAGATCTTGTAAGCGCCTCTCTCTTTCAGGATCTCCGCGGCAGCAACGAAACTCTCAACATCATCAATGATGTCGTCCTGCAAGAAGACAGCAGTAAGGAAGCGCCCTCTGCCCTACTCCAGACACGCACACTTGCTGCTCTATGCTGCCGTTTCAGAGGGTCTGTCATGGTGAGTCCCAGCACACGCCCAGGTCAAAGACTGAACATCCGGAGATGGCAAGAGGGGTGCCTCGACGGTACCTCGTGTGCTTGGTAGGAAGAGCGGTGAAGCCTCCCAGTCACACATGTGTGACATGACGGCTCGAGCAGAGGACTGCCAAGGCTCGTTTCCTTTTCAAATCCCTGATTCATCCCACAGAGCCAGTGTCCCATTTATTTTTTCCAAGAGAAAATGGCATGAGAGGAAAATAGAAGTAAAGTGAGCTACCGTAAATGACCAGTGACCCTCTAGCCAGCAAAGTTGCCAATATGTCAAAATCCTAGGTGTGGCTGCACTGAGACACCCGTTCTTATTGGGGACAACGGAACAGCTAGCTCATCTCAGAGCAGTAAAGCTGAAGGAGGATCACGGGCAAGCTGGTCTGAGGGAACCCAGAACCTGTAGGCTGAAGGTTATGCTGCTCAATCTTCCTATGGGCGGTGTGGTGCTCTTTTCATATTTGTATTTCTACTTTAATCCCTATTCATTTAAATATAAATTTCTGCTATATAAATTTCTCCTAAAGGAGTTTTGGTGAGAAAGGGTAGATGATGGATCTGCAGAAATCTATCATCGTTGCTGGAAACACAATCCAAAGGCAACAACTGAGAACCAGCCGCGTCACCTCTGCACAGGAGGCGATAACGCTGCACCGTACCACTATGATTGCGATGCGTCCTCCCACGTCTCCAACCACGGTTATCGGTGGCTTCTCTTTGGCCATCATCACTAGCAAAACAAGACAAATCACAAGGCCTCGGTTAGGCGTGTGGCACCCGACAAACATGATCAAACCTCCCTCCCTGAAGTGGCGGCAAAGCCACAGCACAGACACAACAATCACAAGGCATGAGGATTCCCTCTCCATGGACCTAACGACTCTTGAAACAGAGCTGTGAAACCAGTGCCGACTCCCAGAAGTAGAAGGCAAGCCATCCCTAAGGGGCGATCCAAAAACACAGTGAATATTTAGAGACTGCACTAACATACATTGCCAAGAACAATGAGGTAAGAGTAAAGGAGGGGAGATTTCGAGGACTAACAGGAACGTGCCTTTGACTGTAATGGAGAAGCAGCACCTGACATCGCTCGGAACAGACTGACTCACTGGGCTGATGAGGAAACAGACTGAAAACCCACCAGGGAAAGGCTGCCTGCTGAAGAGGCAGCGGACTTTGCTCTCTCTCCGAGAAGCCAGACTTGGAGAGTGTTTGTCGCCTTACTGTCAGATGCGGCAGTGCTCACTCCTTGGGCTCCTGAAGCCCGGACCCTCAGGGCGAAACTACCAGTCCTTCGTCTTTACCCCATTTAACTGGTCCTTAAAGTAGAGGATTCTCAAGGGGGAAAAATGAGAACCAAGACCTGTTATGTAAAGGTACAAGATCCCAGGGATGAATGTAACTGTACTGTATACCTAGAATGTACCAATAAACTCAATGAGGAAAATAAATAAATAAATAAAAATAAGAGGAAAAGAAAAAGTAGAGGATTCTTGAGGGAAGTGGGGAGAGGAAGGGGAAGTAGAAAGACTTAAGCTGTGTCATGTACACGTACCAACTCCCCATGATAAATGTCGTAACAGTATACTACCAACATGTACTAATAGGGGTTAGTATTTTAGCTCAGTGGTGCTGCCGCCTGCCTCACAAGCACAAGGATCTGAGTTCAACCCCTGTACCTAAAACAAAAAACAAAACGTGTACTAATAAAGATAAAAAGTAAAACGTAGAGACTTATCTCACTGTAAAATCTGCATTCAGAACAGATCGTGAAAATATAAAGCAAACTATAGGACAGAGAAAAAGATTTAGAGTTCACCCTTGAAAGGAGGTCAGTGCCAAGTACAGTGGCACATACCTCTAATCCCAGCTACTTGGGAGGCTGAGGCAGGAAGACTGCAAGCTTGGGCCAACCTGAGCAACTTACAAGACCCTATCTGAAAAACAGAAAAATAAATAAATAAATAGATAGATAGATAAATAAATAAATAGGGCTGGGGACATAGCTTACTGATAGAGTGCTTGCCTCGCTTGTACAAAGCCCTGGGTTCTATCTCCAACACCAAAACAACAAAAGTTAGTACACTGAAAGTGGGAGAATACTTCAGAAGAACAAGCTGAACATTTTATTCTTTCTAAAACCTTTCAATTATTTTGAAATATTAAACTCGTAGTGGGGGAGAGGGAAGAATATAATTCAGGGTAATTACACAATTTAGTGACTAACAATCAATTCTAGCTGACTCTCACTGATGGGCAGGGGATACCGCAAAGCACCAGTGCTCCTTTCTCCACAAGAGCAAATTAGCTCCACTGAAACTCAGTGCTATCTGGAGTAAATACTGGAGTATTTTAAGAGACAAGGCCCAGAAACATGGACAGTCAAGGAGGTTCTTGGGCTGGGGATGTAACTCAGAGGCGCCATGCCTGCCTGTTAAGTACAAGGTCCTGAGTTCCATGCCCAGTACGTGGGCGGGGGGTGTCAAACATCACCTAAAAGAGGTAGAATTTAGCCGCCAGCATTAGGGCCAACTTCCTTGGGTTCTATCATCTTTAAATTACACCATTTGGGTAACTGGCTATATTGACCTAGCCACTTCTTAAAGAGACGTGGTCCCTTTTTTTGACCCTTTTTCTGTAAAAAAATAGAAAAAGATTGCAAGTCAATACCCCTCATCAATAATCAACAGAAATTCAGCTCTAGTTCATGAAGAAAACATCCACATTTTCATGTTTCTTTTTCTACAACTCTTATCTCCTCCAAAACTATTGTTAGGTGAGATGAAAAGCTGAGACGCGGCTACAAAAGAGGCCTGAATAGACTAAAGAGAAAGTCTTTCTCCCCATGTACTGTTCCTTGTGCATACCTGGCCTTAGGATCTGGATAAAACTTAACACATAATTTGGTGGCTAAAAACAGAGACAGCCTTTATTATAGGGTACACGGGAATAACGAGTACCTCACAGGCCACAAAATGCCAACCATTCCTAATAGCTGACCCAGAAAATAAAGCCTTCTAAATTCCAACTTTCCACAGAAGTACTGCATGTTTGTGATAAGGGCTGAAGACAGTGAGTACTGAAGCTACCCTGTGTTTAAGATCTTTATCTCCATTTTATCTAAACAACAAAAACAAACAAACCAAAAACCCCAAAAAACCCCACACAAGAATAAAATGAACTATACCATGTTGCATTTGGCCAGAAGTCACTATTTACACAACACTGGCTACGTCTGGGTTTGGTGACTGAGGTAGGAGGGCTGCAAGCTCAAATTCACCCCATACAACATGACAACTTAGCAAGACTGTGTCTCAAAATAAATTCTTTTTAAAAATGGGCTGGGAAAGCAGCTCAGTGTGAAGACCCTTGGTTCAATCCCCAATACAGGGAGAAAAAAGGCACTGGCTATGGTTAAAAACATCTTCAGTTAGGGCCGTGGGTATAGCTCAACAGTGCTGCATCTGCCTGGCAAGTGCGAGTTCAATCCCTGGTACCAGAGGAAAAAATTTCAATTCATCAAATGACTTCAAGTGTTTTTATTAAAAATGTAGGATGTTGTCTTTTGCTTTTAAAATTGGTATTTTGAAAAAAAAAATAAAATTGGTATTTTGGGGTCAGGGATTTTTAGCTCAGGGGTTCTGCCGCCTGCCTCACAAGTGCAAAGACCCGAGTTCCATCCCTGGTACCAAAACAAAACAAAACAAAACAAAAATATTGGTCTTTTCCAAATAAGCAAATGCTGCATTTACAAAGTCCTTAAATTACAAAAGGCTCAGGCATGCTGCCACAGCACAGAGCACAAATGCACATACTCTTTCACCCATTTCCTGGAGTCAATTAGCCAAAGTGAGGTCTGCTAAAACAAACAGCAAAGGGGCAATATTCACTCCACGTGTCCTCAGGGTGGTCTATTTCTGCTTCAAGGGAATACCAAGAGTATGGGAGGAAAGAGTGATCTATGTCCAGGCTCGACCTTGCCTATGTGCAAACAAGTCAACATTTAATTTAACACAAGTGTGGGAGGAGCTAATGGCCATTTTCAGTTTAGTAGTGAAAACCACTCTTGTAAAATTAATAAGCAGGAAAATCAAGCCAGAAAAAGTGATTTTCTCTCATTTTCTGTGATCTGAACTCTCCATTTTCACCACTGTGGCAAATAATGATTAGTCTGTAGCAAAAGAACTGACATATGACATAAAATGTTTTCAAGTTAGTTAGATGCCCTTGCCCATCATCAGAGAGGTATCAGTTTACCTCATAAAATGGAAAAACTTTGTTTCTCTTCTTCACTTAATACAACTTCACTTTTAACAAATTACTTTAAAACAGGGTTAGTAACCTGGGTACTACTGATGCTCTGGGCTGGAAAAGCGTCCCATGGTAGGACGTCAACAGCACTTCCAGTCTAGATCCACAAGACGTAATACGACCAAGCTCCTGGCTGCAACAACCTACAGCAAATGGCTCCAAACGTGGCCAAATACTGTCTGGGGACAAAAATCACTCCTGAGACTAGTATGGTAGCACATGTCTAATCCAGCACCTAGGAGGCCGAGGCAGAAGGACTGCCATGAGTCTGAGGCCAACCTGGGCTACATAGTGAGTCCAAGGACAGCCTGAATTACGCAGTGAGACCCAGTCTCAAAACACCAAATCACTCCTGGTTCTAAAGAACAAGTGTAAGGTGACAAAGTGCTACATCTTCCTAAAAAATGCAGACTCCAAAGGTGAGTATTTGCTTTTCTTTAGCCTTGTCATAACATTCTAATATCTTAATAAGTGAACCACTGGAATGTATTTGGAGCATACTGGATTATCAACATATAATTAATACATAAAGGGAGCTGGGGATTCAGCTCAGTGGTTTCGCGGCCTGCCTTGCAAGCCCAAGGGCCCAAGTTTGATCCCCGGTAACCCCCCAAATAAATAAATAAAATAAAAAATAAATAAAGTATATCAAATTAAAAGGTACAATTACACATACAAGAAATAGAGACTTCCTGGTTAAGTCTATGAGTTGGGAATCATAGTAAATGACTGCACGGCAGCTGTCAAAGATGTGATGGAAGCACATCCGAGCGGCCCCAGAGGAAGGCAGTCTTCCACTAAGGCTCCAGAGCACACAGGATGACCAGGAGGGCAGCGCACTGTTACCAGCTTCCCTAACAAAGCGATTTTCTCAGAACAGAGCATCACTGTGTAAAATTCTGTGACAATACAGCAGTATCTACCAAAGTAACCTCTAACTCAGGCATCCTACTTGCTTACTGTGATCTAGATCCAGGTGCTTATGAAAGGGCCTAAGTCAGGTAAGTTACATGTCATCTTCGGTGGAAACTGAGCATATGCACATCAGAGCCCAATCCTGGCTTCTAAATGCCATTCTCCACCAAAGGAGTCAGGGCTCCCTGGATCAGTGGCTGACTTGAGAGCTAACAAACTACAAGAACACAGCAGGAAATAGGAAGTATCAAAATAGGACTGGACGTGTCAAAACAACACAGGAGGCAGCCTGCCACGGTTCTCTTTGGCCAAGTATGAGACATTCTGAGCATTATAACCCACTAAATAAAAGAGGATTCTGCGGACCCATATAAATCCACATAAATGAATAGGGAAAGAGGGAAATTTTTTCACACTACAGTGTCAACCAATAAATACCAAAGAAATGATGGAATTAGAAAATGACCATCAGAGGGGCTGGGGATTTAGCTCAGTGGTTCTGCCACCTGTCTTGCAAGCACATGGAACTGAGTTTGATCCCCAGCACCAAACAAAACAAAACACAACAACCATCTGAAGCTGAGTGAAGTGGTAGACACCCGTAGTCCCAGCTGCTCAGGAGGGTGAGGCAGGATTGTGAGTACCCATTACAGATCAACCCAGGTAATAGTGAGACCATCTTAAAAAAGAAACTATTTGTCAATAATCGGTGATAACTGATTCATACAGGCAAGTTATCAATGAATACTAAATTTGATGACAGTCAAGATATTTAAAGAATCTTAACAAATGACACTATTAATCGTGGGGCGGGGTTGGGGGGCCTTCAGGGGAGAACCTGCCAGACATCACGTTCCTGTCACATTCCTGCCCAAAATGCATGACCCGAATGCAAGCATGACAACAGACTCAGTTCAGGGCCAGTTTACAGAAGAAACAGCTGGTCTGTACTGTCCAGAAACATCAAGGACACAGAGAGAAAGAACAGAGCAGCCATTCCAGACTGAGTGAGACTAAAGAGCAATGGCAGCTGAATGGAATGTGCAGGTCTGGATCAGGTCCCCGCCCAAAGGGTTTTTTATCTTTTGTTCTAAAGGACATTGGTGAAACTTGAAAAATGCCTGTGGATTAAAAGACAGTATTGTAACAATGTTAGTTTCCTGAATCTGATAATTATACTGTGGTTATCAAAGAGTGTTTTGTATTTAAGAAATATACACTGAAGTATTTAGGAACAAAGAGGCATTAAACCTGTAACTCTCTCAAATGGCACCCCCCCAAATATATATATTAAGTTGGGTACTCCATAGTGAAAAGCACAATACGTATCCATGTTCTGCCTTCATTTTTTCTCTAAGCCTGAGAATAGCTCAAAATAAAAAGCTAAAAAACAAAAGCAACAAAGTATGAGCTAGGACCAGTGGCACATACCTGTACTCCAAGAGGCTGAGGCAGGAGGATGGCAAGTTTAAGCCCAATCTGAGTAATTTAGTGAGCCACTGTTCCAAAATGGAAAATAAAAAAAGGCTGGGGGATGTAGCTCAGTGTGAGGTCCTGAATTCAATTCCCAGGATCACATAAGACAAGACAGAGAAAGAAAAGAAAAAGGAAGGGTATAGGTTCCGGAGTCTCATTCAAACCCTGGCTCCACCAGCTCCTGGCCGGTCCACAGAATGAGGGATAGTAAAAGCCCCTACACGGAGGGTTGCGTGACCCACCAATGTGCTTAGAAAAAGCTCTTGGTATGTAATATGGGTTCAACAGATAGTATTATTGGAGCACTGTTTTCACAGCCAAAGACTAAAAAAAACCTATGTGCCCATCAACAGGGGATTGATTAAAATAAAGTACCTTATATCTATAATATGGAATACTATGAAACTGTATTGTTTTGTTTTTTGTCTGTTTTGAGATAGGGTCTTGCTATGTAGTTCAGGCTGGCTTTGAACTCACTATGTAACCCAGGCTGGTCTCAAACTTGAGTCAGTTCTCCTGTCTCAGCTTCCTGAGTGCTAGGATTACAAGTGTGTGCCACCACACCAGGCTGAAACTGTAAAAAAAAAGACAGCAATCTATATTACTGAGAGGGAAGGAGTTAGTGAATGAAAACATCAAGGGACAGAATGACATGTATAATATATAATCATTTGTGTGAAAAATGACAGAAAAAGAAGCGTTTATTTGCTTATACATATATAAAGGTTCTGACTGAATAGATAGGAAAGAAGCAAAATGTATTAGAGATGAGTGGCTAGAAGAAAAAGTTTGGGGAGCCTTTGTATTGTAAAGGACTTTATGCTTTTTGAATTTTGAAATATGTGACTATATTATCTATGCAAGAATTTTAATTATGGAATCCTCAAAAAGCAAATAAAATACTAACAGTAAAAATTAAAATTAAAAAAAGTGAAGCCAAGCATTGTGGTGCACATCCGTGACCCAACTACCGGGGAGGCTGAGGCAGGAGGATTACAAATTGGAGCCCAGCCTGGGTAATTCAGCAACTTAGCAAAACCATCTCAAAAAATTAAAAGGGCTGGGGATGCAGCTTAGTGGGAAGCCCTGAATTCAATCCTCAGCACCACGATAAAAAAAAGTTAACTTAAAAAGTATAGTCCCCTAGGCTGGGGACTTAGCTCAGTGGCACTGCACCTGCCTCGTAAGCGCAAGGTTCTGAGTTCAATCCCCAGGTTTTATTTTGAGATAGAGGCTCACTATGCAATTCAGGCTGGCCTTGAATTCACTATGTAGTTCAAGCTGGTCTCAAACTTGCAGTGATCCTCCTGCCTCAGCCTCTTGGGTGCTGGGATGATAGACATGTACCACCATGTCCAGGGCTAAATAAATTTAAAAAATAATAATAACTGCCTTCCTTTGAAAACTTTGAGCATACTGTATCGTCCAGTACAGAAGCCTTTATTTCTTTTCCTTTTTGGTACCAGGGATCGAATTTGGGACCTTGTGCTTGTGAGGCAGGTGGCAGCACCACTGAGCTAAATCCCTGGCCCCAGAATCCTTTCTTATACCACTCAAAAGTCCATGGAAGTAAATTACTTCCACACTGTTGGATCAATAACAGCAAGTTGGGAGGGTATTAGGTCAAAGGGTTGCATTATTCAACTAAGTGCTCAAGGTACCTGATAGCCAAAGCCTGGTACATGATCAGTGGCTGCTACCACCCATCTCACCAGACACACAGGCTTCTGACTTTAGACCATCACACACATAGCTGTTTACGAAAGCTTACGTGCTACCTAGATTAGTTTAACCGTCCTTATAGCCTGCAAATGTAACATATGCAATCTCCTTTCATAAAAAAGGAAATCAAGGCAATACCATTCAATTATCTAAAAATAATGAGAGCACATCCACATGTGTTAACTCATAGCCATTCACATTATTTAAAATGTTTTTCAATTTACAAATAAAAGTACTGTGTAGGGCTAATCTTACATGGCAACTCCAGGCCTGGGTGCACAGTGGCATTTTTGACCATTGGGGGAGAATGACGCCCATCATCCATATCCAGCTCTGTGCACTGAGCTTCCCCATGGATCACAGCCAACCCCAGACGCAGCCTCTCAGCATAGGATTGAGCCCTAAGAAGAAAAGAGAAGTGACATCACTGTTGGAAAGAAAACCCATGCATCACTATATCACTGTTAATCACAAGATGGAAACACCATTCAGCCAGGCGTGGTCGCTAACTAGTTGAGGCTGGCCTTGAACTCACTATGCCTGTGATCCCTGCACTCAGGAGGACCACAGCAAGTTCCAGGCCAGCCTGAACTGCATAGAGAAACTGCAAAAAGGAAAACAAAAACAAACAAAATAACCACTCAATCTTTTAGGGATACACAAAGGAATTATTTAGATAAAAGTGGCCAGAATGTAAATGCCTCAAGGGCACATGAGCTGGGTTCTGGGGAAGTATCTGATTCTAGATAATTTTGCTTTTTTTTTCTTCTTGATAACTACACCCTTCCTTCAGCATTCTAATGGACATCTTTAGAAAAACTTTGTTCAAAAAGATATCTTTAAAAACTATTCCCTAAGAGCCGGGTGTTGTGGTGCAAGCCTATAATCCCAGCATTCAGAGGCTGAGGCAGGAGGATCGCTGGAAGTTGAGACCAGCCTGGGCTACATAGTGAGTTCCAGGGCAGTCTGAACTACACAGTGAGACCCTGTCTCAACCCCCTCCCAAAAAACAAAACAAAACAAAAACCACTATTCCCTAAAAATTGTTCACAGCCCCACCCCCCATAGATTTCCATTTCCTGAGACCTGATAGGAAGAACTTCATTTCCTCCCAGGGACAAAATGAATTAACTCAGAGCTGTGCTCAGGCCTCTGGGAGGCTGGATATAAACCTGTGGCATGGATGTGACAATGACATGGAAGAAAGCTTCAGTGTTAGATTCCAAAACAGCTAATTCTGACTTCAGATGAGCCCCAATGGGATTTTTGTAAAGGTCTAGCTTAGTTACCTTTTTGCAGCATCAGGAGACTTAGCTACAATGACTGCATTTCTGTAATTTGGAATCTATATATATGGAGGAAAAACAGAAAATATCGAAAGGTTATAAAAAGAAAAAAACCTGGCTGCTGATATTACACTTTTTTCCTCTTATAACAATGATTCAAACTAGCAATCAAATATGTTAAAATGTTATTCATTCATTACAATTTTTTTCATCATTTAGCATCTCTGCAAAAGTAATACTAAATCACAAAAATAAAAAATAATTCAGCCAAGTATGGTGACACATGCCTGTAATCCCAGCACTCAGTAGGCTGAGGCAGAAAAGTTGCTGAGTTCAGGGCCAGCCTGAACTACACAGTGAGAGTCTGTCTCAAAACTAAACAAAAAATTCAAAACCAGATTTCATCTTGTTAAATAAAATTCAGGGGCTGGGTATGGTGGTACACTCCTGTATCCTGGCACTCTGGGAGGCAAGAGGATGGCAAGTTGAAGCCCAACCTGGGCAACTCAGTGACAGCCTGTCTAAAAAAAAAAAGGCTGGAGACGTCGCTCAGAGCCAAGGCCCTGGGTTCAATCTCCTGTGCCATCAGTCAATCAATTGAACAATCTTAAAACCTTCATTCTAGAAAACATAAACAAACTGCTAAGGAAATGTTTCTAACTTCTTTTAAAAATATGGTCCCCCATGACTAAAGACTGAGTCTATCTGGCTGCCGCAGGCATGAAGGCTGAAAAGAAACGAGCATCTAATGCGCCTTTCAATGATGAAATCCGAAACCAGAAAAAACTAAATAGGGTCTGAGGGCAATGGGTCGTGAGCTGGTGGCTCCTCACTTCTTCCTGGATGTACTGAAGCAGGAAAGGTGAGGCTCTAAGGTTGTCCACAGGGAAGCTGAAAAAGCCTTGTATTTCCTTTTGGTGAAGATCCATAGTGATAATGTGAGTTAAACCTGAAATTTTAAAACAAAAAATTACAAAGTTCTCCCCTGCAAGTTAATGGCAACAGTGGACACAAACTAGGTGTTCAACTCCTGTTTCCTACCAGAAGAATGAAGGCAGCGGATATAATGAACCAGCACAGACTCTTACTGTAAAGCTTAATTAAACTTAAGGAAGTAAAAAATGTGCCAAGCCTAATGCCAAGGAACCAGGACTTCCCACAGGACCAAAGAACTCAAGATGAGAGAAAAGTGCTGTCCTCTACTATTATTATTAGCTTGATCCTGAAAAGTGAGAAAAGAAAAATGAGGTAGAAGTGAAAATATGAATATGGGGCTAATACATACCAAAGCAATGACAGATGTCAACAATAAAAAGGCTTTTATTAAGAATGTAGGGAGAAATTCTGAAGGACCGTCGCTATGGCAGAAAGGAATAAGAAAGCAGAAGCAAAGTAATATGTGTATCAGAAGAAAAGAATCTCTTATAGCACAACCATAAGATGCTGAAGCTTAGAATAATTTCTTTATGTGATAAATACCTTAAGTAGTATTCTTACAGGAAAAGATAAAGAAACAATACTCTTATAAGCAATAGCACTAAAGAGTACATGTACAAATACCTTGCAAATGGTCAAGAGTCACTGCAAAATTTCAAAAGCAAAGAACTAGTATTTTTAATAAACATCAAACAAAAACTCAATAGTTATAAGATTACAGTTTTAACAAATCAATTACATTTATTTTTAGGCCAGAAATTATGCCATTCCTACATAAATAGAATAAAAACAATGAAAAAAGCTGGGAGTGGTGGTGCATACTTGTAATCCCAGCACTTAGGAGGCTGAGGCAGGAGGATCACTGTGAGTTTGAGACCAGCCTAGGCTACATAGTGAGTTCCAGGTCAGTCTTAAGTACATAGTGAGACCCTATGTCAAAAAGCAAAACAAAAACAATGAAAACGAGCTGCCTATAAAAAGGCCAAAGGGATAGAGGGAGGAGGAAGAGTCTATAAACTAAAGAAGTATTAAAAGAAAAATCCAAAAAAGAAAAAAGAAAAATCCAGTTTTAATGCTACAACATAAAAAGAATGAAGCTAATGAAGGCAAATACACATAAAATCACACTAAGAATGGCAAGCCTGCGTCAAAATTTGATATGGTGAGATAAAAAAAGTGACAATGATTTTAAAAAGCCTGATTTTTGAGAAAACAATGAAGTATTATCATTCTAAAAAGATAAAAAAACAGTAAAACTTGTAAAATATATATTCTAACCAAACTATGCAAAAGAAAATAGATAATAAAAAGCAAGCAATGAACAGTAAAGAAACAGGTCCCAAACTAGATACCTGAGGTAAAAACTAATCTTAAATAGGGAAGAGTCCAAAATCGTACTGCAGAACTCCAGGTTCTCAGTCCACTCACCTGCTTTTGCCAACATGGATGCCAGGAGCTTGCACACAATGGAGCCCCTCTTCCTCATCTTGCTTTGCTTGCTATATGGGAAATAGGGGATGACTCCAATGATGTTCCTGGCACAGGAAGTCTTCAGTGCATAAGCCATGATCAGGAGCTCCATCACAGCTGTATTCACATCTCTGGAACAGTTAACATTAGCTTTTCTGAGTGAATTAATGTCTTAACTCTTAAAAAGGATCTCAACTTCAGCAATGTAACGGGCTGCCAAGATGGATGTTACAGGCATTCGATCATCATGTCCACTTAGGGTAGCACCTCATGAATGCAGTAGAGAGCTTTCTTCTTAGCTGAGTGTATCACTTTTCATCTGCAGTTACTCAAACCCGCAGGACACTTAACCCTTGCTCATCTGTATCAGTCACGCAGTCACTTACAATAGCATACAAAGCAGCTGCTGGTGACGGGTTACCTGATACTTGGTAGCGTCCTCCCAGAAATTCAGACTCAGGCCAGCATGGACACCACGGGAAATCCATCTGCCATCTACTTAGCTGTCACTAACAGAATGACATCTCTCGTGGGAGATGGAGGACGAGGTGGTTTTGGAACCTTTAAAAACTTCTCCTGTCCCTTCTTGCTGAGACAGATTCCTGACAAATATTATGCAAAGAGAGAGGGAAATATGACCCTGAAAAGTACATGAAGGAAAGACAAGATCCAATGGTAGTGAGTGTGAGCTGCTGCTCTTTGCCGAGGCTGATTGACCCAAGATGGGCTCTTTTCCTCTGCAAGCCAGGGATGTGAAGTCCTTTGGGACACTCTTCCTACATCCACCTGTACTCCAACCTCTTCTGGCTCCACCTGGGATTTTCCATGAGTCCTCAAATACCTCTTCTCTGGGGCAAGGAATGGGTCTCGCTTCAGCACATCAACATGTCCTACCATGGGCAGAGCAGGCTCTGCAAGTGCCATTCCTGAACCGACATGTAGGAGTGAGGTTGCCCTCATGGCCAAGTGGGAACCTGCCACCGAACCAGCAGAGACCTAATACATGTTTGCAGAAGAAGTGGCAAGCTTTGCTAACATGGAGGACAAGCAGGCTATTTCCTTCCAGTGTCTTCCAATTTATGTTTCCACCAATCTCAAAGGCAGTTTATCCAGCAGTGAGCAAGTGCAAGGACTCTGACAATGTTTTCCATCCTCACATTCAACTCACAGAACTTCCAAGTTCACCTCTATAATTTGTATTTGTTGTCACTGCAGAAGTCTATGATTAAAAAACAAAAAGACATAAAAACCCCTCTCCCAGAGGATAGGTCGATTCAGGGCTCAACCTCAAGACTGCAAAGACATTCCTTTTATGATACTGGTAAGTTCCACTCTTTTCCAGTAACCATTTCTTTCCCCTGAAATAAACTAGAGCATTTTCCTGCTTCATATCCCAAACTGATAACGTCCAATCCTGGAACCCTAAGTCAGAAGACACACGGTCTTTCAGCATAACGAGGACGGAGCAATTATCAAACATTTCCAAGGTACCTGGGAATTCATAACACTCAGTCTGTTCTAGTTCAGTCATCCATTCAACAGTTTACTGAGCCACTTGTGTCAAGCACTGGGGAGTAAAACAGCAAACACGGGAGAACCCATCTCAGGCAAGGCCCAGAGACACAGTTTGGATGACTCTTCTTTGTTTAACTTATTAAAGTGCTGAGTTTATCTCACATGTATATTTTATCTCTACCATCTCCATGTCTGACCACCACTACTACTATGTCCTGTCATAACATTCCATATATATTTAAAACCAAGCAAAGGGTGAAGTTTCATCTTTAAAAACTGAACAGGCATTCTGGACAACACATGCTTAGCAATAGAACCTGGACAATATTTATCAAACACAGTAGTGAAAATTCTCACTTTGCATTAATGAAAGAACAGGCAAATATCAACTATTACAAAAACAAACCAAAAAAAAAAAAAAAAAAAAAAAAAAAAAAT